AGTCTAATACCCAAAACGAGTCTAATACCCATGAAACTTTCGATGATGCTGAAAAGTCCGACGTTAAAAGGAAAAGATCAGTGGTGTGGAACCATTTTAAAAAAATGAAAGTGAATGGTGAAGATAAGGCGGAATGTAACTATTGCCAGAAAAAATTAGGAGGAAATAGCAAAAACGGCACAAAACATTTACTAGACCATTTTGAACGTTGTCCAAGACGAACGGTAAGAAATATACGTCAAAGCATCTTGGTAATGGAGCAAAAGAAAGTTGATGGTAGTTCATCATATCTCTCCAACTATACCTTCAATGCAGACACTTCAAGGAAAGATCTCGCGGAGATGATAATTGTGCACGAGTATCCTCTTTCAATGGTAGAGCATCATGGTTTTAGGAAATTTGTTAGCGGCCTTCAACCTTTGTTTAAGGTTCCATCTCGAAATACCGTAAAGAACGACATCTTAAAGATTTACGAGTTTGAAAGGCAAAGAACTATGAAGTTATTGGGGAGGAACACAAGTAGGGTAGCAATTACTACTGATATGTGGACAGCCAACCATCAAAGAAAAGGGTTTATGGCGATCACTGCACACTTCATAGATGAGCAATGGAACTTGCAAAGTCGAATCACGAGGTATATTATAATATAAAGTTATTTTAATTGTATTTCTTGCACTTATACTAACGTATTAATTTGTAAACAGGTTTATTTACGTGCCATGTCCACATACAGCTGATGTTCTTGCTGAGATACTCTATGATTGTTTATGTGATTGGAATCTAGATAGAAAGTTGTCTACTCTTACCATTGATAATTGTACCACAAATGATGCAATTATCAACAAGTTATTAGAAAAGCTTCCACTAAGATCACTTATGTTGAAAGGTCAGTTCTTTCATATGCGTTGTTGCGCGCACATTCTTAACTTGATTGTTCAAGATGGCTTATCTATTATCGAGGAGGGGATTGAAAGAATTAGAGACAGTGTTTCGTTTTGGGGTGCATCACAAAAGAGGGAGCAAAGATTTGAGGAAGCAGCTCATCAGCTAGGAATAAAATACACAAATAAGTTGATCATTGATTGCAAGACTCGATGGAACTCTACTTTTTTGATGCTTAGTGTTGCTATACGTTATAAAGATGTTTTCACGCGATTAAAGCTAAGAGAGTCAATGTATAATTGTTTTCCAACAGAGCTTGATTGGGAGTTAGCAAAGGAGATATGCGAAAGACTGCAATTATTTTATGAGGTAACTCTTATGTTTTCTGGTAACAAGTATCCTACGGTGAATGTCTTTTTCCCGTTGATATGTGAGATAGGTTATTCTTTGCGTGAGTGGACAAAATCCGGAATTGATGAGATTAGTTTGATGGCGTATAAAATGCTTTCTAAGTTTGATAAATATTGGTCTGTAATTCATGGGATTATGGGGATGGCGGCGATTTTAGATCCACGGTACAAGTTAAAATTTGTAGAGTTGCTTATGCCTGTACTTTATGGACCTGAAAAGGCAAAGGTTGAGTTTCAAACTCTTGAGGATTTTGTTAGAACTTTATTTAAAGAATATGAATCTACCGATCCATTTGCAAGAAGCTATGAAGGTATTACCGTATTACCTATAAAATATCAACTTTATACTTATTTTTATATACTAAATTAAACATTACTTCTATTAAACTATAGGTGGTGTGCATTGTTCATCTTCAATGAGTTCGGGATTGTCATTTGAGTGTCGTGGTGGATTCAAAAAACTCTTGTCTGACATTGCTTCAATAGCTAGTGAGAATGATGACTCGGGTTATATGGCCGAATTGGACAACTACTTGAAAGAGAAGCTTTTGCCTAAAGACGTGGATCTTGATTTGTTGGTTTGGTGGAAGACGAATGGAGGTAAGTATCCGACACTTCAAAGGATAGCTAAAGATATTTTAGCAATTCCTGTTTCTACTGTTGCCTCAGAATCTGCATTCAGCACTAGTGGAAGATTAATAAGTCCACATCGAAGTCGACTTCATCCAAAAACTTTGGAGGCTTTAATGTGTGCGCAAAGTTGGTTGTTGAATGAGATTCGAGGTAAGTCGGTAACACTATATTCTATATTAACTTATATGTCATTTCCTTTTTGAATAATATTTGTGTTAAAGGATAATTTATGTTATTTTGTTTATAGAAACTTGTTCGGAAGAGACCGAGGCATATTGCCGCTCTGTTGAATATGATTATGATGTGGATGAGGTAAATAATGTTTATAAAAACATTACTATTTTGGTAACATGCTTTTATAATTATTAAAGTAAAATTTGGTTGATTTATTGATAAATTTCTCAATTTAGGAAGCTACCAAAGAAAGTGACAAAAGTAGCACAAAGATTTTGGATGACTTTATTTGACTTAATATTACGGTACATCTTCGTTGTCTGATTTGAATATCGGAACAAGTTTGTATTTAATTATGTATGTGTTTTATTTTGGAGTTTAGACAATTATTTAGAATTGGATTTGAATTTGTGACTGTAGTTTGAATTGTGAATCATGTAGACTAATTTTCCAATTATATACAAGATGTTTTAATCTTTGTGGGTTAAGCAGCCAAGTCTCTTATTATGATTATGCGCTCGATTTGATTCTTGGTATTGAATCTTCACATGGTAAGTACCAAGTATACAGTATGTTTCTTCCCATGTCAAGCTGCTTAGGGTGTGTGAAAGTTCGATTGATCTTGTTTTTGTTGAAGCCTTCGAGTGCCGTCCTGTTATTCTTTTTTTAGTGTGTTATTATTAATCTCGTTTATGTCCTTTGAAGCATTTGGTTTCATGATTATAAGCATCTGGTTTCATGATTATTTTCATTCTAAGACTGCTTTTAAATATCGAAGATGGCTAGTTTTTTATTTTTCTACATTTAATGTTCTTGATGGCATTGTAATTTAAGTGGGACATTATTTATGTCATCCATAATCTTCGTTTTTTAGGTAGAGTATCCATTGAACTGCCTTTAGCTTCACCCTCTGTCGTACTTCGTTGATTATTTATCGCCTCGTGCTCGGTTTTTTTTGGGATCGGGTTCGGGTATAATATTTCGGGTCAAGTTCGGGGACGTGGCAAAAAATATCTCCGACGGGGTGCTCCGATAAAAAACCCGTTGGGGATCGGGTCGGGATCGGGGATGGGAATTCATTTCGGGTTCGGGGACGGGGCGAGCAAAATCCGCCCGAACCCGCCCCGTTGCCATTCCTATCTCCTTCCAGTTTGATTTTATGCCCTTAATTAATTTTTTCCATTAATATATGCATGATTCCTTTTCTATTTTATTTTCGTTCGTATTTTGTTTATTTTTCTTAGTTGTACTTCCTTTTTTTTAAAATTTTATCATTATATCTTAAAACTTATATATCAATTTATTAATTTATTTATCTTTTTGGAGTTTTGTACGTGTTACCTTAAATGTTGTATATTTATTCATTTTTAATTTTAATATTTGATTGCATGAACACAATAACTTCGATGATAAATGAATTGTTGTTATTTCTTATGATCGCAGGTTAAAACACTAAGAATATCTTTGAACATATAATACCTTCTACTTATCTCATATTAATAAAAAAATTCAATGTATGATTTTTATTTCTTTAATTTAGCCTCAAACTTAGGTTTCTCGACTTATATTAAATTATTAGGTCGACTTTTTTTTTATTAGATCCTCATTTAGATTAATTAAAGAATAATTTCAAGTAGTCCCCGCTTTTGTTACGGGTTCTATTTTAGTTGTTCGAGTAATAATTAAAAATTTTAAAATTTAATTTAAGATTAATATTAGAGCATTGACTTTAGATTTAGTTCAATTAGGTCCTTAATAAATAATTTGCTCTTGACTTAGATGAAGGCCTAAATTTTAGAATTAGTTCTTTTTAATCCCTAAATTAGATTAATTAAGAGAGTAATTTAAAATGGTCCTCGCTTTTACGTGGGGTGCTATTTTAAGTATTTGATAATCAAATTTAAAATTTATTAAGGTTAATATTAGAGTTTAATTCTTGGTTAGGTTCTTTTTTAATCCCTTAAAATTAGGTTCAATAATTTATTTGATTGATTGCATAACATCGATTTTTAAATCATTAAAAAAAATGTTAATTTATTAAGGGTTAATGATATAATCTCCACTTATGCCTGGGGTGATCATCATTAATTCCAGAAATAAGTTAATATTCTTTTTAAATTCATACCATGATTTCCAAAAATTAAGATAATATTTATTTATTACGAAGTGCCGATATAATCTTCGCATATGCCCGGAGTGACCATTGTTAATTCCGAATAAATTGATCTTTTTCAAAAAGATTGCAACATAGGTTCATTCATTAAATGAAAGCTCAAACTTGCAAATTTTCAAATTAAAACAAAGCATAATCGATTAGGTACCATTTTGGGTGATGTGTGAGTGTTAATTATTCATCACACATAATCGATTCCCGAATCTGTTTTCTAATTTCACATATGAAAATTGATATTTTAATAAAATTATTTTTTACTAAAATTACATGATTTGATGTGATTCAATCTTACTTTAAAAATAATTTGTAGCAACTCCCATCTTTTTATAACATTTCCAAAACCCATCATTGGCCCTAAAAAGTCGTTATGATAGCCATCATATCAGTATCGTTAATACCATGTTAATATTGTAATAGTCAATATTGATCGAAAGACAAATTTGTTGTAATTAAGGGCAAAATTAATACAATTAAAAAATAGGAACAAAATTACTAATCTGGGTTCATTTTAAAGGCAAAATGACCCCTTAAGCCAAAAGTAAATACTGTACTAGGATTAGAATGATATAATATATAATTGTTGAAAACATAATATGCTTTTATCTCAAACAAAAAGAAATCACATGATTACTAATTTAACAGGTGGTGACTGATTAATCAATTTTTTCAACATCTTACTCCAAAAAATTTTATTTAGTAACTAGGATAGAAACATGGTCATAGTTCAATGACTAAAATGTAGTTTACCCAAAATATAAAAGATGAACAAATTTCCTGGCGTTCCCCTCATCCCGCAGTCTAGAGCTCAACAAGGCTATTCACATAACCCACAATCCTGCCACTGTATCAATATGAACTTCACCCAATTTTCTAGAGGCCTTCTTCTTCATGTCATAACAATAACACATGCTCCCACCTTACCGAAGGCGATGCAGGCAGACAAAAATCGAGTTGAATTTTCGGTATTTCTTTCCACATCATGGTAGCACTGTGCATCTGCATGGTATTTGAGTGAGCATTAGATAAAAACAATCACAGTATATTTTTATCGTTAAATATATTTAATTATTAAATTGAATAAGTTTTTATTCAATAAACAAAATATAATCAAAACCGTTTTTATTATAATTTGCCATTCATTATAATAAAAACCGTTCAATCATAAAATAATATATCAACCAAAGGGAAAATGTAGCGCATACGATTCTACTAGCCTAACTGCCACATCAGCCTACATGATACAACTCATCAATAAAAATAAACATCAAATTATAAAAAACCAATTCCACCAATAATAGGTTGACACATGTGATGGTAGAAATAAAAATGCCATCCAAATCTGCCAGAAAGTTAACCCCCACTTGATTGATGGAGCCCAAACCAAAGCATATATAAACAAACCCTTCATAACTGCCATTTGAATTGACAAATAAGCAATGGACATTTTCTAAGGAAAATAACATAATGGAAATTCTCTAACGACTTTTTGAACTAAGCATTCATGTATCCACCCATCAGCAAATACACAATTCCTTTCACCTGTTTCAGTTCAATACCATCACTCTATTATCAACCAATCTATTCTAAAGCATTGTTAACAAAATAGGATCCAACTCACCTAACCATGCTTCTTTGATTCTTTTGCATTTGGAAACTCCACATCCTCCTCCTCCTCCTCCTCATCATCACCTCTCTTTCTCTTAAGCTGTGAAGAAGTAGATGGCAGCACCTGAACATCCTCGTCATCTTCAACTTCTTCATCTTCATTGTCTTCTTCTTCTTCATTACCTGGCTCCATCTCGCTTCCTTCAGCAACATGTACTTCAGCTTGCGCCACTGGTTGAACCAGGTAACCTTCACCATAGTCATCATCCTGCCATTCCAATCAACAAATTTTAGTCTTAAAACAATTAGATTAATTTAAAACATCACAAAATCCACCAAATAGATGCCAACATATAACTGCAATTAGCCAACTGAAAAAAACCCTAAACCACGCAAAATATTGTCACCCCAATAGTTTATAGATCAGATGTTAATAATTACAGCAGTAGCAAAAAAATTCAAGAACCAAGCTACCGCAGCAACACAAAATTATGCTCGAATGCCAGTATGTTTTTTTAATGAAAGATAATAAGCTTCTTTAAATAATCCGCAACAAAAAGCTACTCGATCAAAAATGTAAAATGGAAGAATAGAAAAACAAAAGAAGTTAAGACGAACATGAAATTATCAACTAAAAGGTTCCGAAATTATCAATAATTCACTCAGAACACCATAACTAGAAAATATAATAACAGAAACTTCATAAAAAAGTAGCCGTGGACACTATAAAGTGACTTATCAGCTCTAAAACTGTATGAACCAAAAAACAACAAATTAAAATTGTACTTTAGCTGCAATCCATAGCACATTAAGTTTGCCAACCAAGTTGACATTGATCTGTAAATTAACTACTCAGTGAACTAAAACATTATTATCAGAGAACCAGAAGACAAAAATTCCAAATACCATTCAATCTAACCAAAGAAAAATTTATTCAGAAAGAACCTACAACTTTCTTCTGGCAGGGTCACTACAAAAACAGGCACACACACCTAGACAGAACAAGTAAACAAGTTTCTTCTCACGACAAACCCACAATTTCAATAGCCTGAGGATAAAGCAAACACTTTCAAAGGACTTGCTCTCAATTAAAACTTCAAATCAAGTACACATTGAGGTAATTACTTTACTGTCCTCACCATACAAAGACTCACAAGAATGAGAGAATAATAGAAATTGTAATGCGCATTAGCTCTTCCGTAAGAACAACCGACATACATAATTTGTAATATATATATATATAACTAAAAACTTGTACTTTGGAAACACTTGGCTAGCAGAATGGCAAAATCGTTCAAAACATAGCAGCACGCCAGTTATTTCCTTGAGAGAAATCTAAAAAGTCCATATCAATCAAACAATTCACCCAAGTTACAACATAACATAACAAGCAGAAAACGGAAACCAAGACAAATCAAACAAGGTGAAAAATAGAAGAATGAGTGGTTGTATTGTAAGCAATATGAAACCTCACCTCCTCTTCACCCTCTTCTTCATCTTCATATTCCACGTCATCACCAAAACCTATCTCTTCCTCACCGGTCTCACCATTTTCATCATCATCCCCGTCTTCTCCGTGTTCATGCCCATCAATCTCAACTTCTGTGCTTGTCAAACGTCCAGTACTCTCTGGCTCTGCAAAGTCACCTTCATCATTATCTACCTCTTCGTCGTCATCTTCCTCTTCCTCTTCCTCATCATTATCCCCAATATCCTGAACTTCCAAAACATCATCTCCTTCCTCCTCATCATCATCGACTTCCTCACCTGAACCATTCTCATAATCATCGTCCCCATCATCATCTTCAGCTCTCCCTACTTCCTCAATCCGAAACTCATTTCCCTCATGGCTTAACCCATTTACTCTTCCACCTATTTCCGTCTCTTCTTCATCTGCATCACTCTCCTCATCCTCATCCTCATCAACAATCCCTTCCGCACCTTCTCTATGCCCATTACTTTTTCTGTAATGCTGATCATCACCATCAACTTCCCCACTCCCTGGATCATCTTCATCTTCCTCCTCGTCATCAGATTCTGGCCTCTCATTCTCTTCAGCATCCATTTTATCTAAATATTTCAACGATTTAATCAATCCAAAAACCCTAGATCGATAATCCTTAACTCTGGTAACCGGGCACTCATAAAGATCAAGGGATACAAGCTTAAGCTGGGCAAGCGGGGCAAGGTTTTCAATAGATTGAATCCGATTGTTAGACAAGTCAAGTTCTCGGAGCGAGTCAAGGCCAGCTTCAACGAGAAATTTTAGGCCACCGGCGATTCTGTTGTCTGAGAGGATTAACTTCTGGAGATTTCGAAGACGAGGAAACTGTTCTAGAGATGAAACGCCAATATTGGCAATTGAAAGATGTTGAAGATTCTCAAATTTTTCCAACAGGCTCGGTAAGGGGAGGCGACCTTGAACGCACTTAACCACACCGTCAAGTGTCAAGATTCTAGCCGTCGCGTGGTCCGCTTGCCCGTCTAACGCTGTCTCCACCGCTCTCTCCCAGATCTCGTCCATCAAGTACCGCACCGTTTTTATCTCATAAATAAACAGATAATGATTAGAAAGCTTCTTTCTTGCCTAAGGACGTGAATGAGCTCAAAAGGATAGTTAGAAAAGGAAGATACTAAGGTCTGTAATTTCTAGTAAAGAAAATCAAATGAAGGAAACTACAAAATTTGAGATGAACATAAACGAAATCCTAACCCTGGATTTCGAAGATCGAAAATATGCTCTTTTTTAATTTATTCGGACGGTTTAAAACCCTAGAAATTATTGTAGGGATGTAAACCATTGGATTGAGGAAGACACGGATCGTTGACGTGGGTGAAATAAACGGCAGCGATTGAAGGTAAGTGTGTTTGTTTGTTCTCGAGAAGGATGTAGATAGATGAGATAGGATGAGCTGGGGCGCAGGTTTGACAAACGACACGTCACCATTGATGGTAAAATCGGGACTTTTAGAAGAATACCTATCAAGTTCAAACAAATCACGGAAGTGCCACCAGTTTATGAATTGGGATATTTAAGTAGCAAATTTTCGAAGTTTCCATGAAGACGAGAGTACCAGCGATTGAAATAAATTCTTAACTTTACCATCTAAAGAATTTTGAACTGCAATCCCAAACAACAGAGTTTCTCACGATTGTCAAGTGTAAATGATGCAATGCTATCACTGTCTACCGTGAATATTAAAGGTGGATTTATCCATAAGAGCCACAAATATAAAGATCGCAAGGTTACGTTGCCACGGTCATTTTAATCCTGCAAAAGAGTCATGAAAGCATAAGCAGGTGTATAACAGGAATATACGTAACCTTATTAATTACGATGTTCCACAACAATTCAAGGACCGGTTCTAAATTTTCACTCTGAGTCTCCACGCAGATTGTTAACCTTACTTCCATTTTGAGTCCCCGGTCCTTTAACTTCTGCATAACCCGGTGGCAACTTCGGTGGATGCACAATAGGCATGTTTGGTGAAGGACTTGATGTGGGTGGTGAACCTAATGGCCAAGTGATTGTACTCACATTTGAACCCGGAGAGCTTGAGAACTGACTTGGCCTTAGAGAACTGCTAGCACCCTTTGTATCGGTCTTTGGCGCATCTACTTTCTTTTCTAACTCTGCACAGCTTTGTTGCGCCTCATTAATGTCTCCTCCAATGGTAGTCTGGTTTTTATCTCCTACTGTCCTAACACTTGGGGCCCCAAACTGAAGCCAAGGCTGCCTGAACTGTGGTGGCCGGTTCAACATAGCAGCATGGGTTCCAGAAGAATTGCCGTTGTTTTCTGCACCATCTTCGCCTCTAGCTTGAAGGCCAGGTTCTGACACATCATTAGGCTTATTCGGCTTTGAGTCTTGCTGCTTATCTCTATCCAATGTAGAACTCAGATCAACTGGATCAACTCTAGGCACTGAAGTTCTGCCCGTGGCAATTGTAGTTGTGGGAAATGCTTTCTCTGGAGGGACAGCTGGAGTGTAATTAGATGGAAGTAGATCATCCCAGTTCTCTAATAGCTCCTTGTAGACTTTCCGGAGGGTGACCTCTGTAAGACCTGTCACCTTACATATCTTAGCCTGTGTCTTGCGTTTGTCTTCTAATTGGCATGCCAGATATATAGCAGCTGCAGAGATACTAATCGGATTTCGGCGAGTGCAAAAGCATTTATTGATCACAACTTCCCCGATATGAGTTGCCAGCTCCTGGACACATAAGAAGATTTCAATACATCATCCTTCAATGTAAACCAAGAACCATTTCTAAAAGAATTCAAATGCATCACAATGAGATATAGTCATCTATAATGTTAAACCACCACACACAGATACTAATGAATTGTGTAACATAAAAAAGATTTGTAATCTTATTATAAACTTACGTGAGAACCTGTATGTATTAAAAGATGATTTCCCACAAGTCCTATCAATTTTTAAGCAAATTTTTAATTTTTTTCAACATTTATCTGCAAAGAATTATACAACTTCCAATAATTACAATTCAACTTTATTAACTAAAGGTCCAAGTTCTGAGAGGCCTAAAGGCATTTACCCCTCAACTTGTTGAGGTTCGAGCGACAAGGTTGGCATAATTGTGTGTGAATGGGTTTGTATCCCAAAAAGAACCCTAAAGGTCCAAGGAGTGACTATTTAAACAGGAAGGTACCTGTGCAGATTTGTTGAGCTGGAGGAGAGTGCAAAATCTCGGCATATGAACTGATATTGAATTACTGTTGATAGGTTGACTTAATTGTAGAGCTTCTCCCAGGATTTTGATGTACTTACCAATCTCTTTCTGTGGCACATTGGCAGCAATTGAGATTTCCTGTCATTTTACGAAAGCCATTAGAGATGGCTTAGAAAAAAATGGGGGAAACCACATGCAATAGAGATTTCATGTCATTGGTTATGGCCTAACCTAGCAAACCAATATCTATGTTAACACTGTAAGTGCTCACTCTTTACTTTTCCCTTTCAAGGGTCAAACTGCTAAAACGACATTGAAAATAGAACTATAATCATTAAGTTCCAAGATTTTAAAATCTCTCTGGAATTCTATACTTTAAAGTTCTTGGTTTTCTTATGTTCTTCTCCACCATCTCAATTCCCCATAAAATATTCACCTATACACAGTCATCATACCCTCGATTTACCTTAAGGCTTACCCAGTTCTTGTCTCCACCCACCTCTAAACTTATACTCTTCATTCCATCCCAATCAAATTCTCCACAACATCATTCATAAAAGAAACCATGCCGTCACCTCTTCAGCAGACTTTAGTCTCACGTTACACTGAAGAATGATATCTAAGGAACTTTAGCAGTACAAAGACACAAGATATACAATTTTGATCTTTGGTAACATATTAACTTGATTCTGCCATATCACTAAACTATTTTAGCATAAACAAATCAAAATGTAAAACCCCACTTAATCTGTAGAGAAATTACCATAAATAGAAATGAATCAGAAATATAAAGTTACCTGTAGGGTTCGGGGCTCTTGAGCTTCCCTAATGGCCTGAACAAGAGCAGCAGTAGCAAGCGCCTCAACACTTCGGTTCCTCAAACAGGTAGCCGAACAACAATCCCTAAATAACTGGAACGCGTGATCCGATATAACGCAATCTGAAGATACTAAATTTTTTATCCATATTATTATTATTAATATTATTATTATCCTTATTATTATTAATATTATTATTATCATTATTATTATTAATATTATTATTATCATTATTATTATTATTATTATTATTATTATTAATTTATATTAAATATATTAAATACATAATAATAATTACAGACCCATTACATTTGGACCGGCCCAGTTACAAACCAACCAGAACCGGTCCAGAACCAACCAGAAACCCTAAATATTTGGGTTTCCAGTTAGGGTTTCCTAACCTTAATCTAACCACCCGCCTCAGCTCATAGCCGTTGGATCTGGCAAGATCCAGCGGTCCAGATGGCTCCAGAGAGGAACCCTAGGGTTTGATACCCTAGGGCCACGCGGCGCCGCCCCAGCTTCCACGCGGCTGCCGACAGTCTTCTCGCCGCCTCCGCCGCTGCCACGTCCCAACCGAAGACTCCAGAAGATAAAATGGCAGCCGTCCACGCCATGGCTACTCGGTGAGTCACCACTGGTAGTCCGGTGACTCACCGAGAGCCCTTCTTCGGACCGGTCCGACGGCTACAATGGTGGTGGCTATAAAAGCCACCACCCCACCTGCGAAGAAAAAAAAAGAAGAGACAGAAACCAGAAAAAAAAACAGAGAAACGGAGAGAAAGAAAAAAAAACTATACCAACGATCTCAGTCAACATCAACAAAAGAAAAAAAAAAGAAAAGAGAGGAAAGAAGCTTACCCTGTCAACGGAGAACCACAACCGTCGCCGGATCTCACCAAACCCTTCGAAAAGCCGAAGGTATTATTTTAGATTTGCTCCGATTGGGAGCCGTTTAACGTAAAAAGACATCGGAACCGTCATTAGGACGGTCCGATCTACGTTTAGATAAAAGAAAATTTTTTCCGGCCACCGAAGACGGTGGCCGGCGGCGGTGGTTGACGGCGGATGAACGCCGGCTAACGGCTGCCAGCCGGCTGGGCTTCTCTCTGTGTTAGAGAGAAGCGAGAGAAATTTCTCTCTCTCAGAGAAGAGAGAGAGAAGGAAGAAATGAAATGAAATGGCTGGCCCTTCGGGCCAGCCGATTTGGACTTTTATAGTCCTTCCCGAACGACGCCGTTTCGGGAAGGACTATACGCGTAATTTTGAAATAATTAAACCCTGTCCGCAGTCCCTTGTATTTGTAAATTTTACATTTTAGTCACTAAATTGAATTTATAATATTTTTTAATTCAGTCTTCGAATTTTAGTTTCTTTTATTTTAGTCCTTCATATTAAAATAATATATTTAGGATAAATTACAGATTTAATCCCTTAATTTTAATAAATATTTTTTTTATCCCTAGTTCATATTTTTAGTTTATTCTATTATAAAATTTAAATTTTAAATAATTTCATTTTGGTCACTAAATTATTAAATTAGAAAATATTTAAACCCTATAATTTCAATTAATTATTAATTAGGAATTAGATTTAGTTTTATTTTTATTATAATTTAGTTATTTATTTTATATGTTTTCATTTTAATGCTTAAAATATATTGTTTTAGTGATATTTTTATTTTATTATATTGTTAAATATTTTTATATATTCATAAATATACATATAATGAATAGTTTTTTTTAAATATTTATTTTTAATATCGAAGAAAAGGACAGTCTTAATACAACTGGATGTCCTATTCTGATATTTTAAAATTACAAAGTAAAAAAATATTATTTAAATTAATATTTATCAATATCAAAGAAAAGAGCTGTCTTAAGGCACCTAGAAGTTCTTTTCGGATATTTTTAAATAAATAAATATTTTTTATATAATTTTAAAATAATAGGATTATAAATTAAATATATTTTTGAATTTTTAAATTTTAATAATAGAGACAATTTATAATTAAAAAGTACCAATTTTGGGCGTTGTAGGGGTGCTAATCCTTCCCTAAACGTAACCGACCACGAATCCCTTTTTATTATTAAAAAGAACGAATTTTTGGTTATAAAACGCAGATCAGTGCATCTTTTAAATAATGTTTTCTTAAAATTTTTTTTTAAAAGATAATTTTTAGGTATTCGACCTACCTGACCCAAAAGGCCGATGGCGACTCTCAAATTATTTTCAAAATTATTTATTCATATCAATTTCCCCGCCAAAATTTAATATTTCGTGCCCGGACGAAAACCGGTTACGACAGCTTGGCGACTCTGCTGGGGACCGGTCAAACTTTTAAAAGAAAAAAATCAATTATAAATTGTCTCTATTAATTAAAAAATTAAAATTTATATATTTAATTTTTAATTTTTTCTTTTCAAAATTTTTTATATTTACTTATTATTTTTATAATATTTATATGTTTTATTTGCAATTATTTTATATCATTATTTATTTTTTTTTCTGTCAAAGGTTTGAACATTTCTCCTCACACACAACACTTGCATTGCATTACATAAAGCTCTATAATTGAGTTGTCCCTTTTAAGTGGGAGTGAAAGCGACGTCTTCGTGAGAATTTATTCTCCGTGTCAGACCTAGCAAGTAACTTCCGGGGTTCATATGCTCTCTGTCTTCGTGAGAATTTATTCTCCGTGTCAGGCATAGAGAAATGTATCCCCTCGAATTGAACTCGATCCACTTTAGTCTGTGATGGACTAGGATTGAGGGTTAGCAACCCAAGGGGGCACTAACAAAGACAATTCGGGTACCTTTATTCCTAGATCTGAAACCTTGCATATAAAAAACCTTAGAAACTCTTCCGATCAGAAGTCATGCCGAAATTTTGTCCAAAATAGGTGTACACACAGGAGAAATGAATTATGTCTTTCATGTTAATTTATTTATTGTTTAAATTACATGTTTATTTAAATTATTTAAATTTAGAAAAGCATGTTTAAATTAAATAAATGTTATTATTGAATTTTTTATGTAAACTAATTTATTTTCTTTTTTGTGTGTTCTTTATTTTTCTGTTTGCATTGCATCATACAGGATAAAAGACATTGATCCTTGTGTTAATTGTCTCATTGGAAAGCCTTCATCTATGGATAAAAAGTGTTCAAGTCAAGTAATTCTAAACTCAGAAGTAAGACAGTGGGCTGAAGATTTACAAAGACAAGAAGGAGACAGTCTGCAGGATGATTATGTATCTGACTTGGTCAGTTATGCTTCAGTTTCACTAAAAAGAAATGATATGCAAGATTTGCGAAGCATTTGGGAAAGTTGGGATTCAAACAAAAATTTGCAGTTTTATCAGACTTACGGAGACATCCCATATTTGCTCTATGTTGAAGTTGATGATGAATTACTCAGAGCCCTAGTTCAATTCTGGAATCCAGGGTACAATTGCTTCACTTTCAATAAGGAGGACTTGGTCCCTACTATCGAAGAATATACAACTTTGTTACATCTTGAAGGTGCTTTGGAGAATCGAATATATTCAAAGTCAATTAAAACTCAACCCTTTCGAGTTAAATTGGCAAAGATTGCCGGGGTACGAGAAGAATGGGTAGCATCCCGTACAAAACAAAAAGGCGAAAGCGAAGGCATTGCTTGGACCAACATCAGAGAACTTATTCAGAGCCATCCAGATATTAAAGTACGATTCGATTTATTTGCTCTGGGTATATATGGTATGGTCATCTTCCCAAAAGTATTGGGATATATTGAAGCTGCAGTGGTAGACTTGTTTGAACAGTTACCGAAGAAGATTAATCCTGTTTCTGCCATCCTAGCAGAGACCTTCAGATCGTTAAATGCTTGCAGAAGGTTAGGAGGTGGACGATTCTCAGGGTGTACCCAGTTGTTATATGTTTGGATCCGTAGTCATTTCTGGAGGACGGAAAAGGTTTCATACCGACGCTTCAATACGGATTACTCACCATTAAAAGAATTTCTAGAGCAGGAATGGCCTAAAGAAATTAAGAAAGATATGTGGATTAATGCCTTTCGAAATCTGCAAAGCAATGACGTTGTTTGGCGAGCCCCGTGGCAAATACAAAGGGAATTCTTTTACAGGTGTGGTGATTACAACTGGATAATGCTGCTCGGATTATGGGGAGGAATTGGATATGCACCACTGCTGGTTATAAGACAGTATGAAGGTCGTCAATTTGTACCTGTCACTGCTGGACTACAGTCATCTGAGTTCGCATTTCACAGCAAAAATTATAAAAGAAATATCATGGAAGCCGTTACAGCTTGGAAAACAACTTTTTGTATTCGAGCTAAAGCAGCAAAAGAAATGCTAACTCCTGATTATGAAGATTGGAAATCTGTAAGAAAAAACGAAAATATTCCTCTACCAGATCAAAATGAGGATATCTCTATGGAAGATCGCATTAAGGTGGTTCCATCAGAGATTGAAATCTTGAGAGTTGAGTTTGAAGCAGAAAGAGATGGCTGGTCGAAAGAGTTAGAGCAAATGAGACAAGACAAAGCTATGTTGGGGGTTGACATTGATTTTCATTCATCACAATGTGCAATGTTGAGAAAAGATAAAGAAAAAGGTGAGGATGAGTACAGAGCCTTACAGAAAAATTACCAGGAGTTATATAAATCCCGAAAAGCATCAGGACCCAGCCAATCGACGGTACAGATGACCAGAGAATTGAACATTGAGAAAAGACGAGTTGAAGATCTAAAAGGGAAGAATAGCCGTCTACTCAAAAGCCTGGAAAAAGGAAAGCAAAAAATGGAAGATTTCGAGGTTGACAGAAGAGAGTGAATTATAAAACACAAGGCTGAACACCGTGAGATCATGAATGAAATGCAAAGAGAAAGAGATCGAGCCAAAGATTTAGAAGAGATGAAGAATGACATCTTTGTTAAATTTGAAAGCGAGAAAAGTATCATGTTCAAGGGATTTGAATCTGAAATGAACCAGTTGATTGCTGAGCTTGAAGTCAGAGGCCAAAAGATGGAAGAATCCAATGTTGAAAAAGAAAAATGGGAGCTAGAAAGAAAAAATTTCAACACCAGACTTGAGGTAGAGCAGGAGGTGGCTAGCAATTGGA